GTGGCAATCTTATTATCTTCAGTTAGATCAGGCCGTACTGCATAATAACCCGACATTTGTTTAATATTCTACTTTATGTTCATGTTTGCGTCTCAGCGAGCGAAGGAAAAGTGGTATAATACCAGGTATGTCTGGAGACCATGATGAAGGACTGGCACCAATTTTTCGTAATTTGTATGCTATCTAATATGTGTAACCCCCCTCCGCCCACCCTAAAAAATTATAGGAGAGAGTGAAAGAGAATACTCGTCATTCGATTTTTTTCTGACAATAAACACACTCTGCTGAATGATTTACTGTACAAAAATAATAATGAAATAATTTGAAAGCTTGCAAAGTGATTAATGAAAAACTGGTGTGAGACGTGCAATATACGTGTTCAATGACATATTAACTGATAACCTAATTCACAACGCGAACACCTTCTAAAACGTATTAATAAAATTAATTCACTTGAACAAACTCTTCCTAAATAGCATTGTATAAATCTCAGAACGATCGGATATCTTGACTCAAATTTTCAAAATTTTCTGTAGAGTCTCAAGCCACTGCATGTTGTTGTTTGTTGCTAGGTGTTTTGTTTATTATAAACGAAAGTCCTTTTGACCTGCTCCATTTTCGAGCCATTATCTGTATTATCGCCCATATAAGTTCTTGAAAGGAGAGCCTTTAAAATTGTCGCGATTACTTGAAAGGCAATACCCCTATGTCAATATGTGATAAACTATCCTTTATGCCCTAAACCTTTGTGAGAAACCGAATTGGCGTAAATACGGTACCCCTGAATGCCGTGTCCGTTACAATGCCACCAAGTCAGGGACTACAACACAACTTTCGCGTGCCCATTCACAAAGGGAAATCAAAATTGTTTATTTGATAATACAATCAGTTAGGATACAGCAGTAAAGGTATTTGTCAATTGTAAGTCAAAGATGAATAGAAACATCCCGAGTATTTGTACATTTATATATATATATATGTTTATCAAAACGAGTTTGAATGCTGCATTTCTTCATCCTTTCTGGATCCTTCATATAAAATATTTAAACTTTGGGATCTTTTTATGATAAATATTACAGCCAAAAACGCAGTAGATTTTGAGTGGAACTAACATGTATGCATTTATTGTCATAATTTTATTTAATTTTATCATTATTATTTTTTTTTTGTCAATAGGAAAACACGGCATTTGAAATAAATATTTGACTTCTTATTATTTTTTTAAATAAAACGATTAAATTAATTAGTTATATTTTTTCACTTCAGATGAGGTCCGCACTGGCACCTACCGTCAACTTTTCCACCCTGAGCAGCTGATCACTGGAAAGGAAGATGCCGCCAACAACTACGCCCGTGGTCACTACACCATTGGTAAGGAGATCATCGACCTTGTCCTGGACAGAATCCGTAAGCTGGCTGACCAGTGCACAGGTCTGCAGGGTTTCCTGATCTTCCACAGTTTCGGTGGTGGCACCGGCTCTGGCTTCACCTCCCTGCTCATGGAGCGTCTCAGCGTCGACTACGGCAAGAAGTCCAAGCTCGAGTTCGCTGTCTACCCCGCCCCCCAAATTTCTACTGCTGTTGTTGAGCCCTACAACTCCATCTTGACCACCCATACCACACTTGAGCATTCCGACTGCGCTTTCATGGTAGACAATGAGGCCATCTACGATATCTGCCGTCGTAACTTGGACATCGAGCGTCCTACCTACACCAACTTGAACCGCCTTGTTGGTCAGATCGTCAGCTCCATCACAGCTTCCCTGCGTTTCGATGGTGCCCTGAACGTCGACTTGACCGAGTTTCAGACCAACTTGGTGCCCTACCCACGTATCCATTTCCCTCTGGCCACCTACGCCCCTGTTATCTCTGCCGAGAAGGCCTACCACGAGCAGCTGTCCGTCGCTGAAGTCACCAACGCTTGCTTCGAGCCAGCCAACCAGATGGTGAAATGCGATCCCCGTCACGGCAAGTACATGGCCTGCTGCATGTTGTACCGTGGAGATGTCGTGCCAAAGGACGTGAACGCTGCCATCGCCACCATCAAGACCAAGCGTACCATCCAGTTTGTGGACTGGTGCCCAACTGGTTTCAAGGTCGGCATCAACTACCAGCCACCCACTGTCGTCCCCGGTGGTGACTTGGCTAAGGTGCAGCGTGCCGTGTGCATGTTGAGCAACACCACCGCCATCGCCGAGGCCTGGGCTCGTCTTGACCACAAGTTCGACTTGATGTACGCCAAACGTGCTTTCGTCCACTGGTATGTCGGTGAGGGTATGGAAGAAGGTGAATTCTCTGAGGCTCGTGAGGATTTGGCCGCTCTTGAGAAGGATTACGAAGAGGTCGGCGTGGACTCCGTTGAGGGAGAGGGCGAAGAGGAAGGCGAGGAGTATTAAACCGATTTGTTCATGGAATAAAACTGCATATTCACACCCAGATAACAATGACATATCATCATAAATACACTAATTATAAAGTTTTACAGGTGTTCGACGAGGAAATGGACATTGCTTTTGATTTTTTAAAATAACCTTTGTAGATTTTAATAAAGATTAAGTCGACTTTATATTTGAGAGTTTTTTTACATCCCTGTGCCTTACGATAAAAAACCTCTTATACATGTAGATTACGGTCTCTCATTTGGTTGAACTCGAATATAATATATTCATTCTGAGCAAACAATTTGAATAATAATTTGATATTAAATACCCGGATACCTGTCTGGATTCAAGTCCATACTTTGTGTAAATTATATTTATATTTGCATAAATCTTATGCGACCCTACTGCATATTTTACATATGCGTAAATAACTTTGGCAAGGTCATTTATAAATGTTCAGGCAGATTTTACATACGAATAAATTAAAGTGTCAGTGTAAAGTGGAACGGGTTTATAAAGGATTGCATTGAATGTTTCTGACAAAAATTTCTTGATTAACTACACTGGCCCTAATCTATGTATGTTTTCCAGGTATTTCAGGCAATATACCCGTCCTTTTTTATTTTTGGCATATCATAATTAATGGCTTTTACCTTATCTATGCCACGCTCTTTATGAGGGTAACGAACGCATACCGGCATACCAACATATCTTTTCAGTTTTACGTTTAGGTAATATTGAGCGAAACATAAAAACATTGCAAAATGATTCACCAGTGCTTCCTTCTTTAAAAATTCGTGAATCGATACAAATGCAAAATTGATCCAGCAAGGTTCCCCAGAGAACGAAAAAGATCGAAAAAACACAATCCGATTACCTCATTAGGTACTGCAGTATCGTTTCAATCAAGCAATTAATTATATAACAGTTTTCCTACGTGTCTTAGTATTCTGAGTATATCTAGTGGTCGTTAACGGTTACAGAGTTTTAAAGCTAATGGAATTAAATGCCATTTTATTCTAACGACATTGATGATTTTTTACAGTGTAATCATCCATCTATTGAGTTAAAACATCAGCTTTTGCTGTACTAGTAATCGTGCTCTTTAAGACCTCTCTTCCTGGCTATTTTTATTTTTAAGTTGTCGAGAATGTGGAGATAATATTGCGCAATAAAGGTTAAAATGTGTGACGTAAACAAAACTGACGAGTCCAGAGTTTTCTTAAGGGAGATCTGAATGAAACACGTTGCAAATTTAAGTACATGTACCAGACCATCTACATTATTATAATGCACAGCTCCATTATTCAACGCGTGCATTTGCACTATAAATAGAAACCATCTGTAAAAGCTATATAAATTATAAACAGAGAATCTCTAGATAAAGATGAAGCGATTAGTCGATCAGATCGATAGCTCAGCCCGCCACTCTGAGTCTGCGCTGACCTTTGAAGCGAAGCCCAGGCAGGCAAGGACACAATATGTGCAGCGTACAACAAAACACATCGATCGAGGCAGAAATATTGTGTAAGAAAAAACTAACACTGCGCGTCTATACCCACCAGCTGATCCTCGAAACTCAGACTAATTGAATGCTTAGATGGATGGTAGTCGTCTAAAGCATGTAAAGGCGAATGGCTAGGCCACCAAGACCAGCTCAGATACACAGTGCAAAAGAACTATCGTCTAGAAATTTCTAGAAGCGGCCTAGAAATCGTTGACAGCATTGGTGCCTGCAGAAGGTGAGTGTTATTATTAGTGCATTACGGATGTACACAAGACTAGTAAAGGATGGTAGTGTGGAGAAGTGTTTTAAGTATTTGGATGCACATTTATACTGGCAGATCACCAATTCTTCTTCTCTGTAATCTTCTGTCCGTGTGTCTGTTTGTTTGACTGTATCAAAAACAGGTGAGAAACCTTGAGATCTGTACGTAATGGTGCATGCTAAATTGGACGAGGAGCTATATAAAATAACACAAATTTAGGTTATTAAACTCACTCTGAATTTCAAGAAGCACTGAAAAACACACTCGATCCATATTTACAGCACATAGCTTTCTGATCAGACGGATGTTGGTATCCAGAAAGTTAAAAAAAACCCCAAGGTTTATTTCAATAACCTGCAATAAATTATAGGTGGGCAAGTTAACGATCCAGGTAACGATTAAGGTCAAGCTTTTTTCCCCTCACCTCTGCACCTGGCTTAGGTGCACCTGTATACATTGTAATAAAAAAAACTACACAATGGTCAATCGGGTGACAGTCTACACATTAAACACACATGCAAAACATACCCTGACCATAACTAGTACTTACGGCCGACAATAAGCTAAGTTTCATAAGCATATCAATTATACACAAACGAATAGGGTACGCATTACCATATACTGTAAATGCACTAGTGCATATACTGCGACCTATATTCTTTTCATATTTTAATACTTATATATGGTTGCATGCACCACGTGCTGTTGTACTGGTAATAATTGGAGTACAGGGCATTGTAATGTGTTTAATACGCGTTAATGTTGACGAAAAGGTCTATCTGTACGGGGTTAATGTACCCTGGGAGCCACAGGACGGATATTAATTATGGTGTCGATAGTGGCACGGTACTTCTGTGTGGATAGATTCCGAGAATAAGACTTATGAAATACAGGGTAACAACGCTATATATATATATATATATATATATATATATATATATATATATATATATATATATATATATATATGCTCAATATAGGCTCTATAATTGCCAGGTCTCTCATGGGGTGAAATCAAGGCTAGCACTAGTGCGTTCATATAGGTATATGGAAATAATTATCCCCAGCCTTCTTCCACACACTGAAACGGCAATAACAATATAATATGAAACGAACGATAATATGAATGTCTGGAAATAGTCAATGTGGCCGGCCACCTTGATACGCAGGGTAACGACAACAGTACGGCGCTATTGACTATGGTACAATGTAGTATTGAGCCCCAGTGCCTGGTTTTACGAGTAAAAACAATAGTCATAAGATAAATTCTTAGCAATAGATGTATATTATTAAGCAAACATATAAGCTAGCCTACAGTAGTAAAGGTCTCCGTCAATATTCTGACTCTTGTGGTGAATTCTGTTGTGATCAAGTTCACAGGTGAATATGCAGTTGACCTAAACGAGGCAGGGAGTGGGAGTGGGGGGGGGGGGGGGAGGGGGGCAGAGTCCAGGAGGATAGGATCCCGAGGGGACTTAAGAGGGTTGAGTCATGGTAATATCCGTTTTATTCATGAATCGATAAAGAATGGATTCTCCGTTTGGGACGCAGTTTCGGGAAGTGTAATTTAGACTTAAATGGCGGATATTTTTAAGTAGGGGGAATATTAAAAAGACATTTCTTAAATAGAACACAGGATAGAAGAAATCATACAGTTTTTTTACAGCAGAGCGAAACGGTATCTTTTGTCACCGAAGTTATATTTTGGTTTCAATCTTATTTCTATACTTTAAGCAAGATGACTCAAATCTAGAAAAAAATGAATAGTGTGGAGCACATGAACTAACGGATCACAACATCGGTTTATCTGTCACTGCGTTTAATTAGCAGCCATGGCCAACAGCGTTATGTCCTGAACGTCCGCATGGGGGGGGGGGGGGGACTCAGTAAAAGTCTCCAGCACATTTCACCTAGCCTCCAATGTCTGTGGTACGGTGCATATATGTTTCAATCCCTTGTGGCTCACATTAGTGGTTTTATCGTCATGGTAACCAGTGGAACGGGTCTGGTTGGTCAAATACTTGAAAATGCTCCACGTATTGGCCTCGCTTTTAAGGAAGGTCAATCAGTACTTTAATATGGGCTTTATTGGGAACGAGGGTAGATCCAAAGACAATAAAGAAGATAAATATGCAATAGTAACAATCAAAACAGGTTGAACGGGTCTGCAGTACGTAGTTGGTTTTGAACCTCCGTTCAGGACACGACAGTGTTGGCCTTTGGCACTAGGTACAGTGTATTAGTCAAGGTATGTTTTGTGCGTGTGTTTATGTGAGACAATGCATGTACACACTGTCACCCGATCGTTATAGTTGTGTGACAGAACAAGGCATATATCGTGAAACACCAGTGCATGATGAGAGGATGGCAGTGTATTATTTGACATAACGTACATACCGAGAGAAAGTACTCGCATTTCACCGGAAACACCCCTAAACCCGAGTAAAGCGTATATATCGCAACGGTCACAGAACTTTTTGAGAAATGTATAGGCGTTTGCGCGTGTTTGCTCGTGTTTGTTTGCTAGCGCGTGCGAGCGCACGCACGTGTGCGTGTGTGTGTGTGTGTGTATGTGTATGTGTGTGTGAGAGAGATAATCAAAGGGGCAGAAAAAATACCACCGATGGGAGGTAAAGGGAGGCATGTAGGGAGGGAGGGGAACACATTTTTGTATCCAGCATCTCAGCCGATCTCTCTCTCTCTCTCTCTTTCTCTCTCTGTGTGTGTGTGTGTCGGGGGGGGGGGGGGGGGGGGGTTTGAACCGAGTGTTCATACAGAACGACTTTGACCGACTTTGTGATAATCGGTTTGAAAATCTGTTTCTCTGTGTGTCCGCTTGTATACCCATCTTTCTGTTAAAAGTCCCACGTGTATGTCGGAGTCAGTGCATTATGTTGGGAGCGAACCTGAGTGCATAGTTGTCAGGGCATCATCACACAATATCAATTTTTATTTCACACGTGCGTGTTCCCTTTTGAATCAAAAATAAACATAATTTTATACATGGAGAGCTGCAATGAATTTATTAAATCTTAAAACACGTAGCCGTATAAAAGCTTTTATCAATTATGTACGTACACCTGTGACACCTGATGCAGATAATGCACTCAGATGCATTACAACAGAACTTAATTTATTTCACTGATACGGGTACTGGAAGCCTAACTTATCACGCCACCAACCTTATAAAACCAGCGGCACTGACCCTACGTCAACTTGTAGGTAAACATTCCAACAAATCTCTGGTAGCTTATTTATATACGCTTGTTACATAATAAATCATTCTTTATCTTTTCAGCAGAATATTGACCTGACGATGATGAGGGCTAGGTAAATATAACTTCACAAAATTTGATGTGTTGGTCTGGAGCGAGCCTTGAGAACCCTCCATTTCTTGATAATACTGGTTATTGGTGTTCTGATTAAGAAGACAATAATCGATATCACAGGGACGGACATGGATGGGGCTGGAGAACCTGGAGCGCATCCTTCCAGCTGCTCGTAAATGAAGAAATCGCCACCACATTGTGGTGTGGAATCGTAGATCACCGTACAAAATGAAGCAAAAAGAGCGTTCTCTACTGATATGTACACAGATCAGAATTAATTTGTACTGACAATTAAACGCGTGCTCACCTAGGCCTGTTTTAGTGTCTGTAGTTTGCAGTAAAACACCACATGTAAAAAACCCTCTAATATCACAGATTCCTCTAGCATATTATACGAAATTAAGTGTAATATTTTTGTAACAGACTACCAGAGGACCCTGTGTTCAGGGAGTAAGGCATAGGTCCGCGTCCCTCGTGTCATGAAGCCATCTAGACCCATTAATGGACTGGATATACCGGGTACTTGTCAAGAACAGCATTTATTACTATCCAAGTTTAATGGCACATGTCGTATTTTGAGGTCATTGAAAGGATAAAGTGCACCTGAAACGCCGTGGAATGTGCAGTGAGCAGGAACATTAACTATATTTCACAAAGACTGGGATTTTTCTGCAACCCGGGTGACACCCAGGCACGACTTTATGCTGGAGGTTTTGCCTGCTGAGCTTAACTCAGTATAGCAAAGAAAGTGATAACAAACTAATTCTACGAGTACTCATATTATAGGATTGTATGCAGTCATCCAGGTATGAAGAGTAAATGGAAAATATAACAAAGATGAATACATGCGTAGACCGATAGAAAGTCAAGGTTAGACTTGGAGACTTGTTGCAGTCTTTTAAAAGACACTCAGAAAAACTATTTGGTCAAAAGACTGCCTTTTTGAGGCCAAGGACAGGCACAAGCTTACAGCCGACTTTTGATTAATCAGACGGCTAAATGAACACCGTATTGACCGGGGCCTCATCATGTCGGATACAAAATCCACCTGTACCAAAATCCTGATTGTAGCCTGGGTGATATGTGAAGTGGCCCTATACACGGGGCTTATCGATGGGTGGACGTCCCTGGTTTATGTCCTAAAAAGCGATGGCTATTTCAGTAGCGTTTGCAAGAAAAAGAACGACGTTTTACCAGAGAAAGGACCGGGCACTTCTCTTCTAATGGATTATGAATTGTTGCTAGGTAACAGCAGCACGAAAAGTCTGTTGCGTGGCAACGCCAGTGGCCTGTTTGAGAGCCCGAATAACATACAAAAACCTATTGTACCGGGCCACAACTCCACCGCATATAAAATTAAGGATATATATAATTCCACGGACGAACATTTGCGGCATGTGCACTATGATCGCCTTATTGACGGTATCCATAGACAACGAGGTAGAAATTTCAGTGTTTCACACATCGAAGAACATTGTTTAGAACAAGAAGAGCTTTTGAACTTAGTGTTCACTATCGGTGTGTTTTCCATGGTGTTCGCTCCTTTGCTAGGGATACTGTACGACAAATATGGGTGTACCACAACACGGATTGTTTCTCTGTAAGTACTAGTTTGTAGTATTCTTAGAGTCAAGTGATTTCGTTAGCATAATTTTTATTTCGAGTCAGCCCGAAGTAATGTGAAAATGAACATTCAGTTTAGCGCACTTTCGTAGATTGTCAAGGGAATGCTGTACGTACATGTGCATTCTGATATGTGAATTCTCCTTTACTGATCTCGACCAGGTGCGCACTCCATGACTTGACTTGGTTTTGTTCTCTATCCAGGGCAATGTTAGTGCTGGGGATAGTGCTGCTGGCGTTCTCGGCCCCAGGTGAGTTACATTCCAGGACAATGATTAACATATATCTGCAGATACAGGTAGGCCTACATGTATGCTCCTCACGAATCTTAGGGATACTTGTAAGAGCTTATCTGTCATGAAGTACAGTGGGAGTTAACATATAAAAATGAATAAATATATAGATATTATTATAAATAGACTGACTTAAGGACACGCACGTACGATCGCAAAACGTACAGTATGCCGGTATATGTCCCCCCCCCCCCGGGGGGGGGGGGCATTAGTTGTATTGCTGGAAAAAACTGAGATACAGTACATGTCAATGCCTACCTGGATTCATAAGGTATATGAAGCTTCAGTACAACATATAAGACAGTCATATGATCGAAGCATACATTTTTGCTGGTGGTATTCAAGGCACAGTGAAGTGTATACATATCCAACTCATGAAAATTGGCAACGAGTTACGAAAATAAACCTAACATATGTATTAATTAACATACAGTGCGAAACTGACGTGACCTTAGTCCTCGGCAGTTATAGCATTACGAAGCCCAGGTGAAAATGCAGCATGTTGGTGGGAGGATGCTTTAACCAAGTTTATAAATTTTTTGCCTCATCTAGGTCATGTGCAAAACGTGAATGGAATCGCGTGTACTTGAGACATGTTGTGGTCCCTCCAACTTTGAAAAAAACTAAAGAAATGAAGCGCTAGTATTGTCCACGCTTTCTCCATCTGTTCTTGTCGTTTCACTTTTGCGTGAAAATATTTTAATCAAAATTATTTTCTTCCTTCAGGTCGGGAATGGCTGCTATACCCCTGCACTGTGTTATTGTCAATGGGCGGGCAGACGCTTCACTTGACAGATTTCCAGGTGGCGCCACTGTTCGCACAACACGAGTCCACCATTGCTACGCTGGTATCCGGGGCCTATGACACCAGCGCTACAACGTTTTTGCTCGTCAAGGTAGAACGGTTGCTCTGAATGTACTGAGTAAATGTCTTGTAATACTAGATATCAGATTTTATCTCTTTTTAATAATGGCAAATAGTCTGTGGTTCTTTTAAAAAACGTTTAACCATGAATATATACGTGAGAAGTGAAAGGGAGAAGTAATGATATCGGGTTTTTTGGACTTTATTCCAATGACTTGTCGTTGTAAATGGTTTTTAATATTTTAAACCTTGTTTTATTCCGTTGATATTTTAAACAATATTTCAAAGCAATTTTGCATTGATTGTTTCTCTCCCTCTCTCTCTTTCTCTCTCTCTCTCTCTCTCTCTCTCACACACACACGCACAGAGAGAGAGAGAGAGAGAGAGAGAGAGAGAGAGAGAGAATCTTCCTCATACGTGTAAAGCTGTTTATTTTCAGCTGGCTTATGACTCCGGATTCAGTCTTCGATCATCTGCGCTTTCTTTGGCGGCATCTGCCTCCGTCATGTGTGCCATAACGACATTTATCTTGCCACAGAAGAGAAAAGACGAAGAAGGATCGCTTTGCCAAAGGCGAAGTCTTGCCTGCAGATTTTTGAAACATCTTAAAGGACCGAACAAAACTGAGAAAGTACAGATCTCGCAAGATTCATCAGAAGAGCGGTCGTCTTGTTCGACAAATGAATTGACTAAAAGCCAATCTGTGATAGACATAATAGGAAATGCTTACCCAGAAGATTTGTCAAAATGTGATTATGATAAAAAGAAAACTGCCAGTGTACGAAAAATCCCCAAGGACTGTTCAACTTTTACTTCTGCCGAGCAGACGAAATTGTTGTTATCGAAAGCATCTCAAAATGATCAATCTTTGTCTGCTGGCCAGACGATCATTCCGCCACCAGAGGGCGACATCCACTATAAACTAAACCGCTCGTCTTCGGAGCAGACTCAGTATTTATTAGAGGATAATATCCGGGGTGACCCGGTATTGAATACTACAGAACAGACTGACCACGCCCAAGACAGAGCGACCTTGACCTTGTCTGAGCAGACCTGTGTGTCTCCGCCAGATGGCGGAAACAATGACGATCAAAATTCCGAGTTTGCCGAGCAGACAGATTCGGCTACTGGTACAGGCACAGTTATGTCAAGCAGTATCCGACAGAAAATTGGAGAAAATGCACCCTTCAAAAACGTTTTGAAATCCCCAATATTCATGATAACTCAGTTTTGGCTGATAGCAGTGACGCTTCTGATTAACGTTTTTATTGGGATATTCAACTCGTGGATAGAAATACTCAGTAATGAAGATATGGAACAAGGTACCGGTTCAAATATTGGTTTAAAGGCAGTTTTCATAAATACCAGATTCCGTTTCTTGGCGTTCCGATTATTCGCTGGTAAAGCAAAACAGATTAGAAAATAATGAATTTAATATAAAAAATTGTGTGATATTTTGGTCGTAGGAAAAACACATCTTACAAAACAGTTATTTGATCCAACATAAGGATGCAGGAAAACATGTGTATGTAATTAAATATTAAGCTGAAATCCTGTTCATCTCGTGATACAATTAGCACGTATATTTTATCAACAACGGCAAAGAGAATATATTTGTTGAGGTGACAATCATGCACCCTGGCAGCGTCGATAAATGACTCTCATTATTAAACAAACAAAATAAATAAATAAATAAAATTTAAAAACTTTTTAAATTAAATTTGAAAGTTTGAATTACTTTTATGTTAGTTTTAATTTATCTGTGTAGTTTTAGTTTTTATGTACATATGCAAACAGCGCCGAGACGCATGTGAAGCGGTTTTAAGAAATTATTATTATTATTATTATTATTATTATTATAAAAAGCTGCATTTTTTTTCTGTACCTCCAGTGAGCCACTTCACCAATGTGTTTGGATGGATGCAAGTAAGCGGTATAGTGCTAGCCCCATTGGCTGGAATAATTGTCGACAAACAGCGGAACCGTAACAGCAGTGACCACGAAGAGGCAAGCGGCGTCAGCAGCAAGAATGTAACCGGTAAGCTAAGGACACAATTAACATTTCGTGACAGCCGTATTAACAACGGCAACTACACTTAACCAACCAAATTTGACTAAATTAAACAATGACAACAGCAGTGTCACGCTCAGCAGATGCTCATGTAACAAAACATCATACACAGGTGCACAACTGTGTCTTCATTATCAACACACGTGTCTCCAACAACATTTTGCTCATTTTGTCGTCAAACCAACCAACTAACCAACAAAATACACAATCAAAACAAATGCACCGGATAAGGAACAAAATGATAATGTGAAGTTAAATTATTGAATGCCAAGTACCCCCTATATATATTTCAGATATGGGTCACTTCATTCCTTCTTTCGCACTGACCAACGTCTGCGCCATGTTGTTGACCATTGGGTGTACTATCCCGGTTCTCTCTGCCCAGTATGCGACAATGGTCTTCTTCTGTTTAGTCAAGCCGTTCGCATATGGTGTACACGCTGCTTTTCTTGCCTGCGTGTGAGTATTAATAGTGTCATGAAGGCGTTATGTGGGCTACAGAACCACGCTTCCCCTTACTGTTAACTATTTTTTTGGTAATGGGTTCTTATTTGTACATGTACTAAGAGCCTGGCTAGATGGTCTTCACTGACTTTTGGAACAAAATTTCTGCAATCTTTCTTCGACGGTACCACAGGATCAAAATAAATTTTGTTTGTTTTAAATTCCTTTTCCCATGGAGCATCCTCACCACACCTATGCATCCTGATATTGCAGGAATATTATGGCTTTTACGTTACCAGGTAGCAAGGCTTTATTTAAGTCACCTGGATGAGATTAGGTTTATACCTGCATTGGTAACCAATAACATCTTGATGATGGTATTCATTTAATTTCACACTATAAATGGGGNCTGTCCCTTTAACATGCAAGGTGTGTTGACATGGGCAACCCTTCACTTCAAACGAAGCCCTGAATCCTCAGGAAAATTATGCCCACCTTGCCGACTTTAACATTCAGGTACACAACAATACTGAGGCAAGTTTATTAAGGCCAGTGCCACAGTCTAACACATGTTATTTCCAAAATGGCGACTGTGGAAGGACTGAATTCACACTAGCGACACCTGGTGCCAAGCGGGCTGGTATCCCCCATTATACAGTAACGCTGTTAATGTGTGCACATTTGTTAAGCATTCAAGAGTTCTAATTGCATTTTTCCAGCATTTTAATTAATTTTGGATAGGATTAACATTGTACATGTTAAGAATCGTATTATTTAACAAATTCTAGGATATCCAGAGGACATTTTGGCAAGTCGTATACCTTACAAGTGGGGGTTATAGAGGTGACGTCATGGCTTCAGTTCCCACTGTTCACTTGGTTTCAAGGCCCTCTTGGTGGCAACCCGCTCAAGGTGAAGGTCGTTTGAAACAGAATATAACATTATAACAAAACAGTCACAGATTACACATTTTACGTAAGCGATTCTCGATCGTAATTATATGTGCCGGTATCGAGTATGAGATAGTCCCCTTTGATGAAGACTCTGGTTCTCTTTGATTGTTAAAGTTTTTGTTCTCGATTTTGACCCAGTAACATCATGATAACCATAACCTGTATGAGATCCCGGTAATGGCGGGCTTTTGTCGTGTTTTGCAATTTTTTCGATTGAAAAAAATTTACAAATGACACCTTCCACCAGTTCATGATGCTGCTTAAAACACGTTTCGAAATACAGACTTAAATTTTTACCACCTATGTCCCGGGGACACGAAATAGCTCGTTTTTGTTGCTGAATGAAGCATTTTGATCAAGATTTTTCTTTAAAACATATTTTTTTTTATTTCCATGAATTTCAGCTCAACTTGGTGCTGATTGCAATAGCATGTCTCACTTTTGTCCAACCGCTGTATATATGGATACACTGTAGACGACGCAACTTGGAACCCATCATGGGGTCTGAGAGGGGAAAAGATGTCGTGGCTACAGCAAATGCGGAACGGAGTTTATGATTGACGTCCAGACCACATAGACCATTAACTCACTCCTTTGAAGTGGCATAATATGATTAAAAGGTGCCATACTATATGTGTATTGTTTTCAGTTTTATGTAATATAAGTCTTTGAGGGAGGGGACAATAGTTGTATGTTGGATGGTGAATAAGATTGTGTGACTTTTAAACAATCTGGGTTTGTTAACGGTTATTTTTTTCAATCGATTTCGGGTCAAAGTCTAACAGTAACGTGTCTCAAGTAAGCAAGACTGAGGATTTTAGAAGCCCCTTTTCGAGAGAAAAAATTACGGGTTGCTTTGAGTTTGTCACATTCCAGAAATATCTGAAGGATATGTTAACAGTTTCAATACCTGATTATTTTTGTCTTGCTGCTACTATATTTTTAATTCCTTTCTGTTCATGATGTTTAGGAAATTCATTCGTTTTTACACGTTATTTCTATATGATTGTGAGAAAAGGCGATTGAATTAATTTCAGACGAGACAGAGCTGTAGAAAATACCAGCCCTACTGTTAAACCACGAAATGCTGTCACTAAATTATCTATCAGTGTTTTTCTTAAAATTGGTGTAAGCGGTATTGACCTTTTTTCGACATTCAATGTATGACACGTTAACTTGGGCTTTAATTTTGTTGAAATCCTGAAGCATAATACGTTTTTTTTAAATAGAATTAAAGCTGACATTTACAAAGAGAATGCGTGGCTTTTCAATAGTTGTTGGTAACTTCAGTAGAACTGTGAAACATTGTATACGGTGTAAGCACTTTAACTTATGACGTCAAAATGTCTGCCGTACACTTCTATGAAGGGATACATCAATCTGATATAAATTAATGAAGCTGAACCAACAACAATATTCCTAGGTAATGGTCCTGTTTTGGATAAAATCCCTGACAGCATTAAGTATGATCTCAACCCTTTCACGTGGACGTGCACGTAACAGGAGTAGCAGTATAAACATAATAAATGCCATGTTTGTTAAAATTTATACGTCAGGCTCATCTAATACTGCAACAAAGGAGCGATGTCATTTGTATTATTACAGAGAAAAGAGCAATATACAGGTAATTTAACGGAAGGCATTTTCAGAGAACAACTCACCAGCAACTGATTTCTCCTTTTAAACTGTATGTAACTGTACACTACTTGTAATCCTGGCTGTGAACTGTTAACCAGTGTGTACAGAAATGGATATTGTGTCGTACAAAAATGAAATGCGACAAGGCTGAAGTTTTAAAACTTAAATGCCTTGGAAAGAAATCCCCCGTTTTTGAATCGCGACTTCTGATGCTAAATCGTGGCCACTGGCAATTTCCTTTCTTGTCTATTTTTTTGTCAATTTTTCCTTTTCTTTAATGCTTTAAAAGTTACAGCCTGTTACCACACATTATCTGTGCTCCGTTCACCCATCGCAACGGCCCTGGACATCGGAGGTGTGGATTTGTAATCAGCCTGCCTGCGGCACATGCAGCTTGAAAAACTCGTCAGGAGACACATTTAATGCACAAACTGTAAATATTATTTCATGCTATGTTAGGTACATTTTGATTATCATAAACACACAGAAACCCTTAGAACATAGTTTTAACCCAGTTTCCCCCTTCAACCCTTAATTTTTTAATATAGATATAATTTTAGAAAGGTGCAAAATTCCTGAGTTTAAAAACAAACTATTGCTAAATAGGGCCTACAATCAGATATTAATTAAACAAAACTATTCAAAATTCTATTTTTTTAATTTACACAAGTCAAAGTTACTGGGCATGTTGGCTATTTTATAGAAAACGGATATCAATACTTTCTAAGATTAAATATTAAAAAATCCACTGGCATATACCCAAACCAATACCATACCAATGTCACAAACCCAAATCAAATTAACAATGTTTTTTCACTAATGGCGCTAATCAATCAGCGAGTGGCCCATACTTTTGGTTGTAGATGTTATTGGGATCTTCGGTCATCCAGAACTCGAGAAATCCTTCAGCAAACTCGTCAATTGAAACGAGACCATCTCTGTTGGTGTCCATTACGTCAAAGACGTCCTTGGAGTATTCAGTTGGGATGTTAAGACTGTAATAATAAGCATCATGGTCTTTCTTGAATATGAACCCATCACCATCGATATCAATCGCATTGAACTCCGTGCAAATTAAAGTGTGGTACGACTCTTCTCGGAAGTGTCTATCATTAAAGTATGACAGAAGGTCTTGACAGTATTCATCCACGGTGATGCGTGTTTTATCTCCAGCTATTTCTTCCCAGACGCGAATGCGTTTGTTGAAGATGCACTCCGCTCTTTCGCCTACAAAAATAATACATCTTCACTATGAACACGTGTTCACATTCGAGATTTCCAGGGACAAGAAGTGGGTGAGGTGTAGATAGGGGGCGGGCAAAAGAAAACAGATTATTTGCGTCAATATTAACAGAATAAAAAAGCTTTCCATGACGCGAGAGAGAGAGACACAGAGAGACGCAGAACTTTTTTTATTGCCTTTTCTGAAAAATTTCAGCAAAGGCAATGAAATAGTCCTCTCACATAAATCTTGTAATACGTCTTTATATATGTGCTCATGCAGGGTCATGCCTTGTTCTTCCGAAGTATTGAAATGACTGTATCCACAAAATTACAGGTTTTGTTGTGGTGAAATACGTATATTACAATTAATACCAAGTATTTATTACCTTAAAAGCAGCTTTGTTTTGCTCTTTACTTACGAATGAGTGCAGTTGACACCAAGTATTGTAGAGAGGCGGAGGGCCTTTGCCCTTCTGGTGAATTGTTAGGAAATAATTTTTTTATCCTTATAAAGTTATTATATTTCCTGTCAACAATTTCAGTTGGTTTCATTTTTTTACATCCCGTGGCCCTGTGAAAACGCAATATACAAACATGATAATCTAATTTTACTCACCAGTGAGGCCCAAATAATCAATAAGGGCCTGAGCAGTAACCACAAAGTCTTTCTTGGTCATGTACCCATCGGCGTTGGCATCCATACGCTGGAAAACCGTTCGAATTTTTCGTCTCCAGTGTTCTGATCCAGTCAACAGTGGGTAGTCGGTTGGCATCTGAAAGATGTTTAAAGAGAGAATAAATAAGTAAGGAAATGTTAACATTGGTATGGCATTGTACGGTTAATGCATTGCTTAGACGCCAGTGTGACAGAAATGGTAGTCCGCTATGAACCGTAGTCCACTGCTCTTTACGTACATGTAGTACAGGCGACATTCGTCCCATATACTTACCCCAATATTCCGAATAACCCTAACATGTAGGGGCCTACTAATCACATGGGACTATGGGACCGTGGACTTCCATTCCTAGGAGTACCATTCCTGTCACACCTGTGTAAGATAAAAATCAATGGATGTTTATAACTAAGGTGACAACCTACCTTCTTTAATCTCAAAGGTCGGTTTACAACACCTCTCGCAGGTTGGGAAAATCTCGGAGACCCCAGGCCGAAACCAGTGCGGGTAATCCATGTTCGTGTATTCCAAATAACCTTTCCAAATGTCCTTGCTGGTTGGAAAACCGTTGCTAATCTTCTCTCTGCAGGTTGCCTTCTTACTATTCCTCGCATAGGTATGATAATCCTAGACATGGTTTTTGTCGAGAAAGCAGACGCACTAGAGATTTGAAAACGTATTATCCACGGAAATGTAACCCAGATTCTACCTTTATTCAAGTTTTAGAAATGCCATAAAAGTTACATGACTGGAAAATTGAGGGCTTATTATATAGCGACTGGAATAGAGCGCGGGGTGCCTTAAGGTCATTCGATGGGACATTTGAGGGCAGGTGTTGCTTGTTAAAAGAGGAGCAAAAAAAAAAAAAAAAAAAAAAAAAGAAAAGAAAGAAATTAACCCGTGCGCAGATGTAACAGTCTCTCTCTCTTTCTCTCTCTTCATGAATTCAAGACTCAATATCATAATTTCAACCATCAAAATTATCCATAAATAATTGAACAGATTGTTAAATGTATCCAATAATCTTCAATAAAAATAGTTTCAAGACAAACAATTTAACATCTTTCCAGTGCTTGGTATCCTCACCACAAGGATGAGAGTGTAAAAAGTACATGATGCGGACGACCTGTCACGCTTTAATTACGTTGCATTGTAAGTGGCAAACGCCTGGGGTTAAAAAGACAGAGGGAAAACCACACATTCGGTTGCAAACACTTGCAAAGCAGTCGGCGACCTGTTAGCAACCGGTTGGATACCACAAGTAGCTTTTTCGGTCGCCAGGAGGTTATCGGTACTGCACCGAAAACTGGCGCAACCGGATAACAACCCAGCGTTCATTTGGAAACCACTTTGCGCGTTGTTGCAACCGGTCGCCGACCTTCTAGCAACCGACAAGGCTGTAGTTTTTAAACTTAAATGCTTTGGAAATAAATCCCTCGTTTTTGTATCGACTTCTGATGCTAAATGGTGGCCACTGGCATTTTCCTTTTTGTCTATTTCTATTTTTACCTTTTTCTTTAATGCTTAGCTGACCTAAAAGTTATAGCCTGTTACTGCACAGATAGAGGTATTATATAACTCATTATCTGTGCTCCAGCCACTCATGCTACGGCCCTGGTCAACGGAGGCCCACTGGCTTTGTAGTTGGCCTGCCTGCGGTACGTGCAGCTTGAAAAACTCGTCAGAAGACACATTTAATGCATTAACTTTAAAAATATTACTTCATGCAATGTTATATATATTTTTGATTATCATAAACACACAAAACCCTTACATCTTCGTTTTAACCCAGTTTCGCCATTCAACCCTTAATTTTTAAAAAATCTTTGGAAGCTGCAAAATTATGAGTTAAAAAATAAGCTATTGCTTAATATTATCAGATATTAATTAAACACAACTATTCAAAATGTTTTCTTTTAAGTATCACAAGTTAAAGTTATTGGACATGTTGGCAATTTTATAGAAAACAGATCAATACTTTCATAAAACTGAATATAATAACAATCCACTGTCTGATATATCATGAACCCAGATCAAGTTAACAATATATTTTGTTTTCGTTAGTGGTACTTATCAATTAACGAGTGACCCATACGTTTGGTTGTAGATGTTATCTGGATCTTCGGTCAACCAGAACTCGAGAAACCCTTCGGCAAACTCGTCAATTGACACGAGACCATCTTTGTTAGAGTCCAATACATCAAAGTCGTCCTTTGAAGATTCAGTTGGGATGTTAAGACTGTAAAAATAAGCAGCATGCTCTTCCTTGGATATGAACCCATCACCATCGATATCAATCGCATTGAACTCCGCGCGAATTACCGTGTAGCACAGCTCTTCTCGGAAGCGTCTATCATTCAGGAAGGACAGAATGTCCTGACAGTATTCATCCACGGTGATACGTGTTTTATCTCCAGCTATTCCTTCCCAGACGCGAAGGCGTTCGTTTAAAATGCGCTCAGCTTCTTTGCCTAAAAACAATAACGCATCTACAATATAACCACGTGTTCACAGTCGAGACCTTCCAGGACAAGAAGTGAGTGAGGAGTAGAAAGGTGGGGGAGGGCAAAAAACAGATTGCTTTGCGTCAATATTACTTTCAGTATGAATAGGATACAAAAGCTTCCGACGACTCGAGATAATATAAACCTTGTTATACATCTCCATACATGTGCACATGCAGGGGCGTGGCTTGCTCTTCCGAAATATTGAAATGGCCGTACTCACAAAATAACATGTGTTGTTGTGTTGAAATACGTATGTCGCAATTAATATCAAGTGCTTGTTATTATTTTTTTTTTATTTTTTTTTCGATCTTCAAACATTTTAGTTTTGCTCCTTACCTACGGATTAGCGCAGTTGGCACCAAAGACTGTGCAGATGCGTCGGACAGTTTCCCCTCTACTGAATTGTTACAAAATCCATTTTTTATCTTTATAAAGTTAAACTTGATTCTCACCCTTTAAGCATTTTTGCATCCTGTTGTCCTGTGAAAACGCAATGTACAAACACGATAGTGTAAGTTAACTCACCAGTGAGTCCCAAATAATCTATAAGGGCCTGAGCAGTAATCACATAGTCTTCCTTGGTCATGTACCCATCGGCATTGGCATCCAAACGCTTAAAAACCGTTCGCATTTTTCGTCTCCAGTGTTCTGATCCAGTCAACAGCGGGTAGTCGCTTGGCATCTGAAAGATTTTTTAAAGAGAGAAGAAATAAACAAGGAAATGTTGAAATAGGTATGTCATTGTACGTTTAAGGCATTGCTTAGGCGCTGGTGTGACAGGAATGGTAATCCGCTAGGATCAGTAGTCCGCTCCCCATTATTTTGTACAGGTAGCATTCGTCCCATATACATATACACCATATGCTAACCCCGATATTTCGAATAACCCTAACATGTAGTAATCATATGGGACCCCGGACTTCCATTCCTAGGACTACCATTCCTGTCACACCTGTGTAAGATAAAAAACAATGAATGTTTATTACAAAGCTGACAACATACCCTTTTTAATCTTAAAGGTCGGTTTACAACACCTCTCGCCGGTTGTAAAAATCTCGTAGACCCCAGGCCAAAACTAGTGGGGGTAATCCATGTTCGCGGATTGTTAATAACATTTCCAAATGTCCTTGCTGGTTGGAATAACGTTGCTAATCTTCTCTCTGCAGGTTGCATTCTTACTAATCCTCGGATAGGTATGATAATCCTAGACATGGTGTTTGACGAGAAAGCAGACGTACTAGTGATTTGAAAACGTATCACCTACACAAATCTAACCCAGATTTTTATCTTTGTTCAAATTTTTTAAAAGGATTGCCATAAAAGTTACATGGCTGGAAAAAATGAGGGCTTATTATATAACAACTGGAATAGAGCGCGCGGTGCCTTGTAAGCCACTCATTGGAACATTTGATATCCATTTCGTCTGCGTTTGAGGGCAAGTATTGTTTGTGGAAAAAAAGGGCGGGGTCCGGTTCACACACGTAGCAGTTTCTCTCTCTCTCTTCATGAATTTAAAATGTACTACATATAGTAATAACAGATAAGTGTCTGTCAGCCTATTTGCTAATCTTATCTTTGCACTTTGCATTTTTACTAATCCTCGGATAGGTATGATAATCCTAGACATGGTGTTTGTCGAGAAAGAAGACGTACTAGAGATTTGAAAACATATAATCCACACAAATTTAACCCAGCTTTTACCTTTATTCAAGTTTTAGAAATGCCATAAAAGTTACAAGGCTGGAAAAATGAGGGCTTTTTATATAGCGACTGGAATAGAACGCGCGCTGTGCCTTGTAAGCCATTCATTGGAACATTTGATATCCATTTCGTCTGCGTTTGAGGGCAGGTATTGTTTGTAAAAAAAAAGAGGGGGGATCCGGTGCACACACGTAACAGTCTCTCTCTCTCTCTCTCTCTCTCTCTCTCTTTTTTCATGAATTTAAAACGTACTATTAATAACAGATTAGCGTTCTTCAGCCTATTTGCAATAGGCCTTGCTCTTTCTGAAATACAAATACCTTTTTTATATGTTGGAATACGCAGAGAACAAATAGATGTCATATGTTAACTGCACTGAAATTAGATATAAAATTTACCTTTATTTAAAATATGTTAAAGAAGCATGCTGAAAATCTGGTGTCACTCCAAGCACGCGAACCTGTCAGAATGTGAATATCATGTCATTTACTGTGCTATTTGCAAAACGGGTACAGAATGCTCACAAAGGCCTGGCCAGTCGAATAGACTTACCAGCACAGCTTGAGTGAGGGTACCCAAATAACAAATGAATGATCCAACTCTTTACAGTGCACACGAAAGAGGACTTTTGTCACTAAACTATTTAATCCTAAACTTAATAGAAAGTAATTGATTATTGTGGGTGTAACAAGGCGGATTGAGGGATCGGACAGATAAACCCATCGTACTAGTTGGATCGATCTAACTCTGCGGAAGATTCTCTCTATGTGCAATCACTTAAATTGGCTTAAACTACTTATGCGGAGGTGGTGAGACCGTCAGAGGATTAAACGGCTTGCTTTTAAGTGGGTTCGGCCATATTTAGTCCGTGGATCAGTTAGTCTGATAATCTGTCTGAATGCACTCTAGTATAAGTCATTCCAAAGAGAAAGGCACCAAGATGTCTTCATATTAATGCTCTATAGTTAGTTATCCTTGTGTTTCCTTTGAACGGCAAAATGTGAACTTTCCCAGAAGATCTACAAGCGACCTGGGCCCCGTAACTCGAGAGCATCGCGTATTGCGAATAGCGATATCACATAGAGGCTACAATGTATTATATGGGGCGAGTATGGGCGCAATGTGCGATGCTTTCGAGTTACGGGGCCCTGTTTGACCGCTGATCAACTGTGGAACCTATGGCGTCCGACAAATGGATTGGCCATGAAACACAATCGCAAAACAAACCTGTATTGGATCAAGATTGAGTCTGATGTACATCGTACTCAAAAGCTATGCAAGTGGGACACAACGCATCTTTGTCCCATTCTGCGTATTGGAAACAAGACACTCATCCATCTTGTTCAAAAAATGAAGAAAAAAAAAAGCCTTTACCTAATGCTACAAGATAACCATGTCCACAGCCAAAGATCTTTCTTTATAAGTCAGAAGAAAATATCCAAAATATCGGCACCGTGTAATTTTAAGGGGGTTTATCATATTTAAGGTCTGAATTGGAATGGATAATTAGCTATCTTAGGGCGTATTCCCATAGATTTTAGATCGATCTATCCCCGTGGGGAGTCTCACTAGATTACTGTCAGATAATCCATCTTAAATGTCCGTCCCGCCTACTACAAGCTGTAAGGGGGTAATTAACTTTCGTGCCCGATCGGCTGACAGCTATTTAGCGTGAACCACAGGGAGTTAGGTCGATCTAGCTTGGATCGATCTAATCTCTGGGAATGGGGTCTTAGTGCAACTTATGTATACATAGGGAATAAGACATGTCCAAGCACGTGGACTAGCTTTCTAAAATATTCCACATACCTTTGAACAAGTATGGGTTTAAACTTGCACGACTTTCTAATGAACCCGTTAGCACCCCCACCCCCCCTCGAACCAAGTTCGTGAGCCGTGATGAGTGAAATCAGAAATGTAGGCTTCAGTAAAGAAAAGACAAATATGACTGTTTTTATTGAAAAAATGTATTGTTGATATCAGGAATGTGATTGCTTCTAAATTAAGATAGGAACACGCTACTTCGAGTAATAGTCATGTAAGAGGTCTTGTATCCCAAGTTTCTTTGATTTCTGTATATGCAACTGTTTTGTGTCATCTCCGAGTGTACGAACTTCCGCACCATGTATCCTTTCCTCGGCAACGTAACTGCGCATGTTCAGGCAACTGCGCGGACATCCACAACCGTCCCAAACGTACTTGGGGCATTCCATGACGTCAATGGCGTTTCCCGAGCACGCCGGGGCATTGATTGGTGCTGGGTTGGTGCACGTGCGGTGACGCACAGTCTTGCCGCCACAGCAGGGCGTGAAAATGGACCATTCCGTCCAACCACCCTGAACTGGAACCCAATAAACATACAAGTTTACATGTACAGTAAAGATTGAAAATTAGGGGCCTACTAAAAGGCGTTTCAATAAAATGTAATGTTGGTTCTCTGTCGGATCAGATATTATATATGTATTTGGTGCTAATTAGCCTACATGTAACTTGATGCTAGAAGGAACTGCATTGGAATCGTGTTTATTACATATCATATAAATCTGGATTAGATTCTGGTTCAGTGAATTGAGCTGGGCCTACATTGTGCACAAATATGTATAAAACTGAAAAGTGTAAATTATTTTATTATGTTGCCCGCCACAGTTGAAAAGAATCGTAGTAAAAATGCCCTTTAATCAAAATAGACTCACCAACGCATGTGTGAACATTGCAAGGTCTGATGTCGATGTCACTTCCGGTGCACTTCGACAGGATGTCAGTCACCTCCTGCCGAACCGGAAACAGAACGCATTCTCTGCGGCGAATCTGAACACCACCGCCGCAAGATGCTGTACATAGTGTAAACTTGCTCCAGCCAGACCAGGCGGCAATTTCGGCTTTTACAGAGAATGGACCTTTGGAATCTGCACCTAGGATGATATGGTTTGCAGAAAAAGTTTTATTCATTACTGATAAACTATGGAACCGCTGATACGTCTGTTCCCCAAAAAGGTGTGTCTTTTTTTTTTTTTTTTTTTTTTTTTTTTTTTT